CGGCTTGCCAAGGGCTCACAAAGTGGAATTAACCTTTTAAACATCCAACGCCATGAAAAGTCGCTCGCAGACAGGGACTCCTGGATAGGGCCCTGCACCTGGACTGTGCAGGTAGTAATGAACAATGGGCGCAATCAAGTGACTTGAGTATTGCGTTGAGCACTGAACGGTGCGCCAGTGGCCCAGGAAGATGTGCGTCATTCTAGATCTCAAGCACCCAAACCCTTGTTTCTTGCTAGATCGGTGCTCTTTAAAAGGGCCGCCATGTTGTTGAGTCACGTGATTGAACTGGAGGAATGGGGAGGGGGTATTGCTGAACTCCTTGCCTGGCTGTCTGGTTTCTGCATTTGCTGAGCTATTGACCTGGTAACAAGCATGCAGCAAGTGAAACGAGGGCTCCCGGTCTTCCTACATGTCCCAGTTCAGTCAATCAGAAAGATGCTCAGCCATTGCAGCCACACCGCCACCAGCAACCACAACCTCATGGTTTCCTTTGAGGGACTTGGAGTGTATTCATGGCGACTGGAAGGTGCATTCAGTCGCCGGAAATGCACTTTGACCTTCACCAGTCTGCATGCAAGACAAACGCACCTCAATCGGACCTGCTGCGTCCAAAGACATGCGACATGAAGCCGGTCAAGTGCAGCGTCTAAACGGTCTACCCATTTCCATTGGGAATGCGCTGACCGGCCTCCTGTGTGCCCGTTAACTGCTGACACTTGAGGCCGACAAAGACCCTTCAATGTCCCCCCTCAATGGTGTTTCTTCTTTATGGCCATGTCACCCCGATAAGATGGCCGCCGCTCATGTTGGTTGAGGTTCCCTATTCACACCCTCCCTCATCGGCCCTCTGCGATAAGACGGTTGCTCTTTCCCTTTTGGTTCGATACAGGCAATGCGCTACTAGGCCAAGAGCACCGATGGTTGCCTAGCAACCCCCCCCTACCTTTCTCCCTTCCAGTGCTCCCCGCTGTTTGGTGAGTTTCGGCACAGTGTGATACGCCGGAGATGGAAAATAAGGTGATGGAGCCGCCGCAACCTTTCATCCCGAGTCGTAAAACCTCTATTAACGTGCCATCACCGCAAGAACAAAGGCCGCCGTTCCGGTCCGTGCTCCTCGTCCAAATTATTATGATTTTTTTTTTCTCTCTGTACATAGAGGAATACAGAGACCCTCTCAAGACCGTCCTGAATTATTGATGTCTTTGTAATTTATTAATGCGCCCGCCATTAATGCGCGGAGCACTCTACAAGCTTGCACAAATAAACGGAGGAGGGGAGTGCAAGGTAACGCAACCGGCAAAAGTGCCGGGGCCCTTCTGCGAGAGCGCTCTGAATATTTCATGAGGCGGCGAAGGCTTCGGCCTGCGAGGCTCCACCGCCAGAGTTAAATCGTTCCAGGTGAGATTCCATTGCGGATTTAAAAGGCTTTGATGGCCGTGCCTGCGGGAGGTTCCTTCTTCTGCAGATTTAAAAAACGCTGGATGAAATCCTCTCCCCGAGCAGCGCAGTCGGCAGAGAAATCCCCTGTGGTCAGGCTGACCCCCCCGCCCCCC